GGAAAAAAAAAAAAAAAAAAAAAAAAAAAAATCCCAGAAAAACAAAAAAGACCTGATGTGGTTGAACCTATATATTAAGCTACTCTCCTGAATGGTAGGAGAACCTAAGAGGATGCTCCTGGCTGGTGGAGCGAGTGAGGATAAAGAGGGGGGATACCTTTTGTGTTGTATTTTTAAACAGGATTTTGCGCCATAGTTCAGGCTGGACTTAAACTCATTATGTAGCACAGGCTGGCCTTGAACTCACAGCAGTCCCCCTGCCTCAGCCTCCTGAGTGCTGGGATCACAAGGATGTGCCATCACACCTAGCTAAGGGCATCTTTTTCAACCTGGGAAGTGCAGCTGCCTCTGCAGCCCCACAGTCACCCCTAGCCCTTGTTTGGTTTCCCTCTCTGGTCTGTTTTCTTCAGTTTTAGCAAAGTGAGAACACTGAATTCCAAGGACCTCCATTTCATTTTCTAAAGCCTGTGCTTACTGGATGTACCCTGGGGGAGTGGGGCTGCATGCTCCTCTGGCCCCTGCTGCAGCTGGGCTGTTCTGTCCCCAGACTACTCGCTGCTGCTCACCTTCATCTACAGTGGGCGTGTGGTGGACAAGCGCCAGGTGGGCAGCCTGGACTGTCGCCTTGTGGCTGAGGCCTCCAGCTCTGAGAGCACCATAACACAGGTGACATTTCCCAAGCCTGATCCATGGGAGCCCAGCCAGCGCCTGCTGAGCCAGCTTGAAAAAGGCATCCTGGTGGCCAGCAACTCCCGAGGCCTCTTTGTGCAGAGCCTTTGTCCCATCCCCATCTCCTGGAACGCACCCCAGGCCCCACCTGGCCCAGGCCCACATCTGCTGCCCAGCAACAAGTGCGTGGAGCTCTTCAAAGCTTCCTGCTTCTGCAGAGGTGAGGATGTTCGAGCTGGGAACCCTCCTACCTTCATTGGCATCCCCTGGGCCTGGCCACATGGCCATAGCTCAGCCCTGGCAGCTCTCCCTCCCTGGCTAAGGTCACGGAAGATGAGGTTCAGGGAGTGATAGTATAAGAGTGTCACGTTCTGGGGAGCACACTCTGCCCGTGTGGGAGAGCAAGAGTGCCCTACATGCCCTACCCCTCCACACTACATCTGCCACACTGCAGGCATCCCCTGAGACTGTCCTTTCTCCACCCATTCTTGGAATTCCATTTCCAGCTGCCTCTCAGCTCTACATTTGACCTTAGGAGGGGCCAGAGCAGAGGGCATGCAGAGTGTGGGGTTCCCAGGGCTGTGGGTGTGCTGGTGCTGGGAGGGTCCAACAGCAACAATGCGTTAGCTGCCAGAGCTGCCGCCTGCTCTCCAGGTTGTAGAGTAACTGGCTACCTCTAAGCACTTCTGGCGGAAGGGCTTCCTTTCCTACCTGTTCATGGCTGGGTAGCATCTTAGTTCCTGGCATCTCTCCTGACCCCGCAGTTGAGGCTCTGGCCTTCATCGCCATGTGGCCCCTACACCTCTTTTCATCATGGGTTCCCTCACAGTCCCTCCTTGCCTATCGCCCACTCTCTTCTTGACCCTTTTACTTACAGACTTCGACAAGTACTCCCAGGGCCTGGGTCCCCCACCCAAGTCCCAGGTAACACTGCATTTCTGGGAAGAGAACCCTGGCTCCAGCCGTACGCTACAGAATCCTATCACAGTACAAGTGAGTCAGAGCAGGGGCACAGTAACTGATCCGAAGGGAGGGAAGGGGAGATAGTCTTCCGGGAGAAGGGGCTGCTTGGGGGAGGCTGCCCCGGGGGAGTGTCTGCCCCTCCTGTGCTCACTGAGCCTCAGTCCCCCGTCGTCTCTTCCGGTGCAGATGGAGCAAGCTTTTACCCGGCATTTACTGAAGGAGACTCCAGAGGATCAGAGAGCCCCTCTGTTCCTGATGCAGAGCTGAGGAGGGTCCGCCTGCCTCTTCCCCTCTGTTCCTTCTGCCTCCTTTGGAAAGGACTCCCTTCTGCATTGTCGATCAGCCTCCCTTTGTGTTCACTGCAGTATGATCTGCCTCCAAGTTGTCCTGGAACTCTCACGCACCATGAGAACGTTTCATCCTTTGACAATTTTTTTTTGGACATAACTCTTTTATCTCCAAAGAACTGGGAACTTTCCAAGTCGTATGTTACTCAGGGGTCCTTTCCTTCTTCCGCAAACCTCAACTCTAAAGCTAAGCACTTTATATTTTCTTCTTAGGTCTTCACTAAAGATCTAAAATAAAATTTTATTCAAAGGAGAATCACTGCCTGATTTACTGGGAGAAGGTAGCAGGGGTATAGGAGATGGTGGAGACATCAACCTAGAATCAGGGCACCTGGTTGTCCTCTTGCCGACATCTCCAAGCCCCTTTGCTCTCTTCTGCCCACAGGTTCTAGGTGAGACATTGTCTGGGTTCTATGGGTTCTGGGCCTGGTACTGTTCACAGGTGAACCCACTAGGCCACCAGGATAAGGGAGAGGTAGCAGCCAGGAGTGTTGGTCCACCCTTGCAATCCCAGCACGAGAGGCTGAGGCAGGAGGATTGTCATGAGTTCAAAGTCAGCCTGGGCTAAAACATTCAAGGGCAGCCTGAATCCTGTAGTAAAATCCTATGTACAGGTCCATAGTGAAAACAAAATGATTGGGGTCAGCCACCAAGAAGGTCATTGAGCCTACAGCTGAACATCCAGGTACTATAGCCACTTCATGTGGGAAAATCTGGTCTCCACAGTTCTTTGCAAGAGGTCTTTGAACCTCAAAAACAGGCCAGGAGCTGGGTGTGGTGGTGCACACTTGTAATCCTAGCACTTTGGAGGCTGAGGCAGGAGGATCTCCACAAGTTCTAGCCTAGGCTACATAGTTCAATGCCAGCCTGAACTACATAAGGAGACACTTTCTATGAATGAATGAATGAATGAAATGGTCCTGGTGAGGTTCCCATTCCCCCCACCCCTTCCTATAAACTGGACACCAAGTCCAACCTGGTGGAATTTGTGGGGAAGCAGCATCTAAGCACAAGTCTGGCGCCTACCTCCCTTACCCCTCTGCACTCTGAGCAGTTGGCCTCAACATGACCCCACTTCTCGATATCCGTTGAGATATTTTGTTATAAAGTTTGCTGCCAGGGAGAGGCTGGGTTTGGTAACCAATCATTGGTCAGCATAATACCTCCAAGAAGTCCTTGTTACTGAAGGCACGAATGAGAGCCAATTGGCCAGGACACCTCACAATTGCCCCACAGGGGTTCTTTTGATTGGTTTGCTGCCTGTCTCCAAGGCTCTGTGGCTTGGTGACAGGAACAGCGTTCCAACCGATGCTGGCTCCCCATTGGCTGTCCACGACACAACTCGCCTCCAAGAGGAGGTAGGTACAAAGGCTCCTCAGCACGTGCTCCGCGCTCCGCGCTCCGCACGTGGTGACCCAGCCCCACGGAAGGGCCACCCGGACTGAGTGCGAGACCCAGGAGTGAAGAAGGCCTGCTGCAGAGACCACCTGCTCCCTCAGTCGCTGCTCAGTGGCCCACCTCGGGCCTCCCCTCGGAGTGCAGCATCTCCATTCTGGAAGCGCATTTCCAGTAAGTTCGATGTACCCAGGAGGCACGGGAGCCACCAGGGGGCCCACAGAGAGCCGAGTCCCACCTCCTGCGACTCTGTTCCGTTATTCTCTTCATTGTTTAAGCCTCCAATTGATTCATTTGGCGTTTGGAATCCATCCCCTGCGCCTCTTGCCAGGATCCTAACCTGGTGCTGGGAAACTCGGCTCTAAAGAATTCGGATTGAGATCCGCCCTAAGAGGGCGAGTCCAGGTTGAATCCCAGAGGGACCATGTTCTACTATCCCAGCGTGCTTCAGCGCCACACCGGCTGCTTCGCCACCATCTGGTGAGGACCTGGTTGCTGCCGTGTGCCAGGGTAGGGGGTGCCCAGGGAGCCCAGCCTGATGGCGCCCGCTCCGTACCCCATCTCTTCTCCTCCAGGCTAGCAGCGACGCGCGGCTGCCGGTTGGTGAAACGCGAATACCTGAAAGTGAATGTGGTGAAGACCTGGTAAGGCACAGAAAAGGCAAGAAGGAGGGCATGGGGCAACGGTGAGGGGTGAGGTCATGCTGGGGGCGCGGGGAGGGGGTGAGGGCGGTGGGGCGGCAGGGCTACGCGCAACGATCAGGGCGCCTCATTCCCGCAGCGAGGAAATCCTCAACTACGTCCTGGTACGAGTGCAACCGCCGATGCCGGGCCTGCCCAGGCCCCGCTTCTCTCTGTATCTCTCTGCCCAGCTCCAGATAGGCATCATTCGGGTCTACTTCCAACAATGCCAGTACCTTGTGGGTGAGGCGGGGAGCCCCGCGGGGTGGGGCAGTGCAGGGGAGCCTTTTGCTAGGCTGGCTCTCTCCCTTGCCTTTCTCGCCCTCAGAGGACATCCAGCACATCCTGGAGCGCTTGCACCGGGCTCAGCTGCAGATCCGCATCGATATGGTAGAGGCTGAGCTGTGAGTGTTCCCCTGGGACTTGGGTGGAGCACCTTCCCGCGCAGCCTCAGCCTAGCTCAGCTCAGTCTCCATCCCTGACAGCCCACATTCTCCCCTAGACCCAGCCTGCTGCTTCCCAGCCACCTGGCCATGATGGAGGCCCTGGAAGATGCTCCAGACCCCTTTTTCGGGATGATGTCTGTGGATCCTACACTTCCCAGTCCTTTTCATATTCCTCAGGTGGGGCTCAATTTGCCAAACTGGGGTTCGGGGAACCAAACCTGCCATGGCTCTCTCCCACAGCAGACAGGGAAAGGGCCTGTGGTCCCGGGTCCGTGCTGGCAAAGCCTCTGCCCTTGTCTCCTCAGGGCCAGCCTGACAATGACAGTCTCCCTGCTTGAGACAGCTTTTATCCCCACCTATCTCCACACAGTGCCCACTGCCAAGGCTTCAACCAGTCTCACTGACTGTGCCCTGGTCTTCCTCGTCCCTTTCCTCCTCATCCATTCCGAGCACCCCATTGCCTGGTTCCACATTCACACAGCAGTTCCCAGCATTTGTTCTTTCTGTGCTCCAGTGCAGACGGCCTTCCCCATGATTCCGTCTCAGCCGGTACCCTGGGCATCCTCAGCTCCCCTATATCAATTTGCCCCACTGTGTCCCAGAGAGACCCCATTCACTTCTAAGTTTATGCAGAAGTATCCCTGGCCCATAACGGTCACTCCTCATTTTCCCCTAATCAAGTCCTACACATCCTTACAGACCTAGCTCAAATGCTACCCTTTTCCGTGAAGTCTTTATCCCACTCCTAGCCAGAAGTAGACGCTCTTTGGAAACAGCATTTTACAAGGGCCCGTTTCATCCTTTGCATCCACACTGGCTGGGGTCATATACAATTGTGTGTCCTTAGTAGACCATCTGCACAAAATCAGGAATCTTGCTATTCACCTAGCTGGACGTGGTAGTGCACGCCTGTCATCCTAGCACTCTATGAGGCACTCTATGAGACTGAGGCAGACAGATCACAAGATTAAGTCCAGCTTGGGCAATTTAGTAACTTAGCAAGGCCCTGTCTCAAAAATAAATGATTTAGGGCCCGGGATTTAGCTCAGTGGTTCGGCTGCCTGCCTCTCAAGCGTAAGGACCCAAGTTCGATCCCTGGTACCAAAAAGTAAAAATAAAAAAATAAAATACATGATTTAGAAAGTAAGAAAGGAAGAAAGGAAGAAGGGAAAGAAGGAAGGAAAGACAGGATGTAGCTCGGTGTGAAGGCCCTCACACAAAATCACACAAATCTTTCCCATTTACCTGTCTGTCACACACACTTGACAAAAGGATGCAGTGCTTTTTGCTCAGATTAACAAAGACTAGATAACCTGGGGATTGTGGTGAGGAAGGTGCAGGGGAGAGAAGGCTAGGTGGCAAGTGGGTTCCCTGAATCCTGGTGTCCATGCATAAGAATTAGGTATAGGGCTGGGGCTCATAGTTCAGTGGTAGGATATTTGCTCAGCATGCTGGAGGTCCTGGATTCAATTACCAGCATTCCCCCACCCCAGAAAAGAATTAGATATAAAGGAAGATTTACCAGATTACCTTTCATTGTCTGAATGGAGTGAAAGTGGGAAAACAGGGCTGATGTGGAACCCTATCTTTTGTCCCTGATTCTTCCCCAAAGATTCGACGTCTTTTAGAGGCTGCAACCCCAGAGAGAGTTCCTGAGGTGATACCTCCTGAAGTTCCTACAGAGCCCAAGAAGCCAGGTCAGCAGAGAGCTAGCTTTCTGGTGAGAGGCATCAGAAGGTCCAAAAACTAAAGAAATAAACCATCTTTGAACCAGGCCCCATGTGTATAACCTCATCACACCCTACAAGAGTCCTGTAAGATCAGAATTCTCACCTCTTTTTTGCGAATGAGGAAAGAGAGGCTCCCAGTGGTGAAACAATGGACTCAGGATCAGGTTGCCAATGGCTGGTTTGGGTCTGACTAGAATGCAGGTTGATTTTGCCTCACTACCTGGGTTTGGGAACTTGGAAAGAAGCAGGGGGTGCTGGCCTGACTCCTTTACCCCTCCAGAAAGGCCCTTGGTCACTGTGCTGCCTCCTGAGGTCATCACACTCCGGGAGGTGGAGCCCATACGCATGCTGCGGATTGAGGTAAGCCATCCTGCTGCACGCAGGGCCTTGGACCCCAGCCCCTTGCATCTGTTTCTCTGCCTCCTACAGTCTTCTGTCTCCATTTCTCCCTCCTGTCCCTGACACTTGAGCTTCCTCAGGTCTGGCCCTATGGAATCCATCTCAGAGGATTCATTCTCTTGGATCTATTCCTTTTTATTATTTATTTATTTATTTTTTTTTTTTGAGACAGGGTCTTGCTGTGTAGTTTAGGCTGGCCTTGAACTTGCAGTGATACTCCAGCCTTGGTCTCCCAAGTGCTGGGGTTTACAGGCATGTGCCACCCTGACTGGCTTTCTCTTCACTTTTTACAGCACTGGAATTGAGCCAGGCATAGTGGTTAATGCCTGTAATCTTATCACTAAGGAGACTGAGACAGAAGGCTTAAGAGTTACAGGACTTGGGCCAGGGATTTAGCTCAGTGGCACCAGGCCTGCCTGGCAAGTGCAAGGTCCTGAGTTTGATTCCTGGCTGGAAA